CAAGATTTGTACTGAGCTTTTGCTTACTCCTTCGGGTTTCGTTGGATTTCGGAGCACTGCGAAGGCTCTCCCGCATGGAATGTACCAGGTACGGAATAATCTTCCGTCTAAGCTTGGATGACCTTTTCCCCGTTAGTATGTGGTGAGCAGCCATTGAGACTCGAAGCAGGATCTTCCCTGCAATCCATGGAGCAATTTAACCAGGGTGGCCATTCTGGAAGCGCGCGAAGGCCTTCCGAATAGGAAGCACTTGCCAAGCTGTCGATGGAATAGAGTCACCTGGCTGGTTCGCCCCGAGTTTTTTGAATTCGCCGTTTTCGGAACAGGAGATCCCCTTACGAGTGAGGATGAGTAATAATTTTCTCGATGGGGGGTTAACTTCCACTTGCTCAGGAATGTGTTTTCTTTTCCCCTATGTTTTAATCCGTTTTAGTCCATCACTGGACATCTCTTTCCACGTTTTTTACCGGGGGACGTATTCGCAAATGGTGGTGAACTGCCCGCCTTCTGGAGAACTTCGCCATATGTGACGGGACCCGTGCTATCCGCGTGTGCCACATTCTTGGCCTCGCATGAAACCAAAAACACCGCGAGCGGAAAGGAAAAGGCATTCTTTTTGGGTGTCCGATCTTCAGATCTTCAGATCTTACTCCAAGAAGGAGGGAGCTTGGGAATAAGTCGACGGAGTGCGCCAGGTACTCCCACCTGGCCTGGATCCAAATGCCGCGCGAGGAGGGCGGACTAGGCGCCAAGCAAGCTTGCACGCACCGGTTTCCAGCTGTCCTCCCAGGCGAAAAACCGACGTTTTATGTCTAATGTGGGTGGGTCTTGCGTGTTGTTTCATGTGGGTGGGTCGTTTTTTGAGGATACCCGTTTTGGGGCTGCTTTGAAGGGAAACCCAAAAGGGAACACAGAAGCCATTTTGCGGGTCCGCTGCGTTTTCTGGGTCGATGATTGATTCGCGGACCCAGTTGCCAGTGGTGCCCCCTTTTCTTTTCTTTTTTGGCGGGGGGAGGGGTGGTGAAACTCAACCGCACAAGACAACAGGTGACACTGGGCTTGGACAGCCACTGGGCACTAGGATTGTGAGGGGTGGCTTCCCTTCACACCATGAAGAGTAATTTCGAGGACGTTTGAACGAACCCAGTGTGGTTGGGGGTGTCTGGTCAAAACAGTGGTCAAGAGACCCGAAGCCTCCAGTTTCAACTAATTTGGAGGGAGCCTCCCACCCTCTCAGGGGTCAGCTCGCGCTGGAGACTCTGATTGTGGCTCACTTGTGCACTTTCCTAATATATCAAGCAAGCCTGAACTGGTGGTTGGGATTGGGGGTTGGGTTAAGGAACCACCTGCCCATGTCTTTTTTCGCTGTTTCAATGGAAAGCCACAACAGTCCCCCCATGGAAGCGGCATGGGCGGAGACTGCCGGCGGGTCATCGTTGCCTTGAGAACCCTTGCAAGGCATACCCTCCCAAAAACAAGCAACTGAACCTGCACAGGAACCGGTCTGTTCCTTTCAGGGAACCGGTTCCTGTGCTTCGGTCGTTTTTGGAAATTCAGAGCCATCCCAGAATCCCGGAGTAGGCCGCAGTTGCTTTTGGCAGAAACCTCTCCCCATTGCAGATAGCTGCAGCCAGCAGCCTGTTGATTCTTCAGTTTTGGGTAGACTCCGATAGGTTCACGTGGACTTTCAGTCAGTGTGCTTCCTAACATGAACAAAGATGGGATCTCCAGTCTCGTGCTTGGATAAGTTTGACCTTTCGCACCAAGTCTTGAGTACTTCAAATCGGACAATAAACGGGGGGGCCGTAGGGCCATATTTCCGCAACATTTAGAGCAAAGGTAATGGAGAGCTTCCATTTGTTTAAGAATATTTTTCCCTTTTGGTTTTAAAAGGAATCAAACACTGCTGGAAAAATATGTCTTCATTTCTTTCCCAGGGGGCTTAAGCAAATGGAAGTATGCCCTGAAAACCTCCACCCCCATGGGTCAAGCGCTGAGGATGGTCATTGCCTACCTGCAGTACCGTGTTTTTCCAGGGGGCTTGAGCAAATGGAAGAGAGATATCTTGGGATTCATGGTGTAGGAAAACTCTCGACTATTCACGCATTCAATAGTGGGAACTGCTGGTGGCATGGCTCGAGTAGGAACCAACAAGGTCGATCACGCAGGGTATGAGATACAAAGCCCAGACAGCGGAAGTTGTGGCATCGTTTCATAGGAATACTTCAAGATCATCAAGAACAAACAACAGAGTAGTAGAATGTTATCCAACCCAAGTGTATTGCTGGTAGAGACCATGGTAGAATACAGGGGACAATTGCTTGGGACTCTTTGATTGCGGTTTTTACTTTGCGTTTTCAAAGGGGGATGGTTTTGGAACCGAGTGTTTCTTCCCAAGGACCCCCCCGACAATGACGTCCCAAGAGTGCCGAATTGAGTTTCCTGTTCCCCACGTGAAGCTCTGACCAAGCGAGGCGGTCTGGAGTATCCGCTGATCTCGGACCGGAGGGAGGGAGGTCGCCGGGAGGGTTGGACCAGAGCCTGAAACGCACGGGATTGAAGATGGTCACTAGAGTCTAGAGAACGGTGGGCACAGTGAACACAGCTGCGCATGTCAGTGGGTGCCCGCATCGTTTCTGTAGATTGTTGACAATGGCCTGATGCACATGGATTCTTGATTAAGGCCCGGAACGCAAATCATTGCAGATAATGCTATTAATCTTATCTTGCATGTTTTACCTAATTCTGCCTAGAAAACGGTTTGGATGTGGCTTCTGTGGATCCACCCCTAGTAAAAGAGTAACAAAAAAGAACCTACAGGGGGAATAGCAGGTGAGATCCAACAAAACATCCAAGCCCGTTTTCTAGAGTTTGGTTCTGAAGTACCCGGAGAAACCGTTTTTGCTCTCCTCAGCGGATCGTCTTGTTGCGGCCTGCCAGTTTGCTGATGCCCCGTGATAGACCCTCTCTCCCACGTTGGCACCTGACGGGTCTTTTGAAGTGGACACTTCCAGGTACTCTCTCTCAGTTGCCTGCTGTCAGTGGCAAGGGGTATGTCTTTTGAAGTAGTCAATTGGGAAGTTGACTCCTTGAGCGGCTGGTAGGTAGTAGCTGCAGCCCCTCTTCGATGCTTTTGATGGGCTTCCTCAACCTTTTTGCCGGTTTTTTTTTGGCGTCTCCAAGCCAGCCAGCCGTTTTGTTTGTTGAAGCGCCAGGCAAGGCAGCCATTTGGGGGTGCGTCCAGAGATAATCGGAATTCTTCGTCTTGGAGGTAGCATGATGGGAAGCCAGCGACTTTACAGTCCGAAGCTATTTCCGGCTTGGGGGCTCCATTAAGGGGCCATCGGCTACTTAGAAAGTGGTGAGTAACCATGGTTTTCACCCACCAATCCAGCGTTTTCTGGGCGCATCTTTTTTGAAGGAGCCTTTATAGTTTATAGCCTTTGTCAAAATGTTGGACCCTTTTGGTATTTTAAGGCAGACCAAACAAACACCAAGCTATCAGGAAATGATACCAATTCTGAGAAACACCCATACTAGTAGAAGCATGATAGAGCCAAACGTCAATTTGCAACCTTAAACTTTATAGCCTAAATTCGTATAACCAGTTTGGACTAGACCCCTGAAAGACCCGCAACCTACTTGGATGTTCAACCTACTCAGTAACTAGGTTGTAACCATGGCTACAAGGTAACTAACCCAATCCAGTTGTACCCTTGGATAGAAACTACTAAGTCGGTTGCCCAATCCAGTTGTACCCTTGGATAGAAACTACTAAGTCGGTTGCCCAATCCAGTTGTACCCTTGGATAGAAACTACTAAGTCAGTTGCCCAATCCAGTTGTACCCTTGGATAGAAACTACTAAGTCGGTTGCCCAGTCCAGTTGTCTACTAAGTCGGTTGCCCAATTTCACTGTACCCTTGGATAGAAACTACTAAGTCGGTTGCCCAATCCAGTTGTACCCTTCTAGACAAATTATAGCGAGCTCACTGGCCTGAGGCGAGCCCCAAACCCCGAATTACGAGGTGGTTTCCGAAATAAGGATTTCTCAAATCTGTGGGGTCGGGTGCTATTCGGCGGAGCGGGGCGCCAAGTGTGGCCAGGTGTGCGAGATTCCGACCTCCGTAAAAAGCTTGAAAGCACATATGTTTGAGACAATCCGAGCCCTGAATTTCATTAACACGGGCATCAGGTTCTCAAAAACCAGCCGTTTCTGCTTATTTGGCTCTAAAATGCTTGCTACCGCACTCGTTTGAGAAAATATGGCCCTTCTCTGTCTCATTAAGACTGGCCTCAAATTCCCAACAACCAGCCGTTTCTGCTTAGTTGGCCTTAAAAAGCTTGAAACACAGATATAGATGTTTGAGACAATCCGGCCCTTCTCTGTCTTTCATTGAGGCGGGCATCAGGTTCTCCAACACCAGCCGTTTCTGCTTATTTGGCCTGAAGAAACTTGAAGCACACACGTTCGAGAAAGTCAGGGGCCCTTTGCTGTCTCTCGTAAAGACACATCAAGCTGTCAAAAACCAGCCGTTTCTGCTTCATTGGCCTTCAAACGCTTGAAAATACACGCGTTTGAGAAAATCCGGCCCTTCTCTGTCCCTCATTCAGACTGGCCTCAACTTCTCCAAAACCAGCCGTTTCTGCTTAATTGGCCTTGAAAAGCTTGAAAACACACGCGTTTGAGAAAATCCGGCCCTTCTCTGTCCCTCATTCAGACTGGCCTCAACTTCTCAAAAACCAGCCATTTCTGCTTAGTTGGCCTTGAAAAGCTTGAACACACACGCGTTTGAGAAAATCCGGCCCTTCTCTGTCCCTCATTCAGACTGGCCTCAAATTCACAAAAACCAGCCATTTCTGCTTAGTTGGCCTTGAAAATCTTGAAAACACAGACGTTTGAGAAAATCCGGCCCTTGTCTGTCTCTCATTGAGACTGGTCTCAAGTTGTCAAAACCGGCCGTTTCTGCTTAATTGCCCTTAACAAGCTTGAAACACACACGTTTGAAAAAAATGTTCAACAATACACCTGGCTCGACCCCCCTCCAATTTTACACTCTTTTAGGAGGCAAGGAAGGCGCCGAAATACAAGGTGCGAGGTGGACCCTTAATTTGCGAGGTAGTATTTTATTATGTTTTTAATAATTCGAGGTACGAGGTAGACATTATTATTGCTAATCTGCAGGGGCCTTTTTCTCTTGATATTCAAAGAGCTTCGGTCGAATCCATGCCCTGCACACAAGGTTGGAGATCTTGTCACTCCTCCCATGCAGCTTCGGCTACGTGCTGCATGCACAAAACGTGCTCAAGCCCCTTGCCTTCGGCTTCCCATGCAAGTCATCAGCGAGTGGTAGTAGCCCGGGCTGCGGATGTAGATCGGGCCCGGAAGGCTTGTCACCAACCTCCTGAAATCTGGCGTACAGCACCGGGGGCACGGCATCAAGTCATGGGTCCTTGTACATCTTGGGGGGGGGTTGCCGCCTCCCCCCCCCTTACTTTTTAGATTTCTTGTAGAGATTGAATCACCCCTGTTTGAACCATCACTTTTTTCTAGCGTCCAATTTCGCGAGAACATGCTGCAAAATACGACACTTTAGGTAATCTGTGTAGTCCATGTATGTCCGTATGTATGCAGTTCTTCGAACATCATAGGGGAAGCTTCTATCTTGGGGTCCTTGTCGCCCGTCGAAGGCCATAGCAATCCCTTCTCACATGATACCTTTCCCCCCAGTGAGACCTGAGGAGGATCGGCTCCAATGGCAGGTCCTCATCTCCCGGCGGAATGACCGGCTCATACTGCTCCGACGGGCTTGTCATCTCCTCCTCAGGCTCCGGTTCCAACCAACGCCTAGCACTTGTTCCCTCTTTCCCACGCCCCTTGGCATTCATCGGCAAAGACTTGGGTCTGGCTCCCAAGGCCTGACTTGCTCCACCTCCGGTACATGGCCCCCTCGACGTCCCACCTCCAGTAGACGCCCTCTGGGATGAAGATGCTCCTCCGGTATACGGCCCGCCGAACGTTCCACTTCCCGCCGATGGCCCACTGGCCGTTCCACTTCCAGCCGATGGCCCACTGGCCGTTCCACCTCCGGTAGATGACCTCCTCGACAATCCACCTCCGGCCGATGGCCCACTGGCCGTTCCACCTCCGGTAGATGACATACTTCTTGACATAGTTTCGCCCCACGGCTCTACTGTCCTTCTCACCTGATGTGCTGCACTCCCATCTGTCTCCTCCTCCGGTTCCTGCTCATCTTCCCGAGGAACTCCCCGATTCCGAAGAGCTCCGATCCTTGGCGCCACCGATCTCTGGCACACTGTCTCCACCAGCTTGTAGAGGATAATCGACAAGATGCTCACGAGCATCATCAGGACCTTCAGCATGTCATGATTCTCGTCCTCCACCGTCTCTTCTATCTTCTCCTTGACCGCCTGCGCCTTCGAGATCATGCTCACCAAAGCGACCACCTTGATCATGGCTGCCGCCTCCTCCGGGTCTCCGCGCAAAACCGTCGCCTTCTTCTCCTTCTCTTCACCGCCAACGTTCTCCACATTCTGCTCCTTCTTCTCCACCAACGGCTCTAGCTTCCACAATTTGCGAAGGTCCTCAATGCGCTTGCCCGTGAGAGCCTTCGTGCCCAAATCCGCCAGCATCATCTCTCCCGACACATGGTGAATCGACCAACTCTCCTCTATCAATCTCCACCGCAAGTTGTAGGCCCGAACTCTGAGGTGCCGAGTTCTCCAGCTTCCACTAGCCTCCTGTGTAATAGCTATCGCTGCCGAGCTATCCGACAGAAGCTGCCTTCTGTAGTTGCCACCCGTGACCTCTTCGATCTCCATCACAAGGGCCTCCACGCTTTCGCCCATGATGATCCCCTCCAGGCACTCCATGAGCTCCGCCTCCCCTGTCGACAACGTGGGTGAACTCTGCCTCGAGCTCCTCCAGGCCAACACTGCTCCGTTCCATAATACCGCCACCGACCCATGGCTCAGTCCTCCTCCTGGTGCAAACGAGGCATCTGTGTACACCTCCAGTCTCCTTTCATTCAGACCAGTGATGCCCTCGCCCACATTTCTCTCAAACCACAGGCCCATGTCCACAGTCTTGTGCAAGTATTTCCTCACCTGCTTCCCCAACTCCACGGTCCACCTCGGCGCTTTTGTCACTGCCGAGGACATCCGGCTCGTCACGAACATGAGGTCTGGTCGCGTCTTGGTGGTAAGCCACAAGACCTCTCCCACCGCCTTCTGCGCGGCCTGCACCTCCGCCGCCGTGATGTTTTCCTCCTCCGGCATTTCCGTCATATCCTTGCTGATCGGGATGACCGAACCATAACCACCATCTCCGTATCGGTTCAGGAGCTCCTGCGTGTACGCCGCTTGCCCGAGATGGTAGCCTCTTTCCGTTCGGCTGATCTCCATGCCGCAGAATCTCACCTTGGCCCCCAAGGTGACAAACTCTGGCTCGCTGGTCTCCCACTTCTCCCGGATCACCTTGT